GCAATGTCAAACCACTTCTGGATCATCTGCCAAGAACGTATATGAACAGGTCCCAGTCCGAGAAAAGGATGGAAGGATCCTGTTCATATGGACCTGTCGTCAGACAGAACACTAAATAAATAAATAAACAGAAGTCATATGGTCTTAATGCCTTCCTCAAGTAATGTTAATCATGCTGATGCATTACCAGTTGTGATGGTGCTGTGGTAGGTAGCATACTGGACTTCAATGCATGGGGTCATGGGACTGAATTGTGGCGAAGTCAAAAAGAATTTTCTCTTTCATGTTGGTATTTTGCCAAAGAACTACTTCTCAGTAGATTTGAATGTATGATCATCTATGGCCTTATTGCAAGCAGTGCTAGTGTTGAACCCACCTTGCAATTTTGCGATGTCAATATTTGTGATTGTAGGAAATTGAAAATTAGGATTTTAGGATACACCCCAGTGGCATTATGTACTTCTGTACCAGTTGTTAGTTGAATCGTGCAGACAGACATGGCCAACCTTGTACGTGTTGATTTCGTGCACAATGCAATAATAATCTGATAAAAACATTAGTTTTTTTTTATAATATTTTGCCCTTTTAAGTTTTGAAGTTGGCAGTTTTGTTTGTATTGCTGAAAATGAAGTATTTGTTTTTATCCCCCATTTCCTCCCCCATCCCCCCACGATTAAAAACTTTCCAGGAATTTGACATCTCTGACTGTTGCAAACTCCTAAGAGTTGGGTACTGTCACTGGTCGGTTTGAGGAGTTAATAATTAATACCTTTGATTGGTGACTTGGAAACTGTATGAAAATTGTTGCATAAAGCGATGGATCCATTTCAAAATGTACTCCCTGCATTTGTGCTGCGCCTGAGATCTTGGGAATGTCTGATCGCCTACTGTTTTCATACTTTTGTGACAACATACTTGTATACAGGCAAGACACTGTAACGTTTATTGCATGGGAATAGGGGATATGAACTCCTTTACTGCATGGCTGCCAGCTTCAGAGTTAACTGGCTAATGCATGGCCAATTGGACCATGCCTAAGAAGCAACAAGCGTTAGGTAGACGTTAATGACCGTAATGGAGCTTGTGATTTATGTGGTTTATTTTTAATGTTTATTGTCTTATCTGCCAGACAGTAGGTGGCAAATACGTACTAGTTTTCTGTATGTGCAAATTAAGATGATTGATACGCATTTTTATATAGGCTTGTTTCTTGATTGCAGATGGCTTCATTGGCAGCAACAAATTGGCCCAAACCCATTGTTCTTGTACCATGCCTATCATGGTCGTCTGCAACTCCAGTTTTCACCCAGGTATGCCAAAATAAATTAAGTCACCATAGTTTATTTTATCTGATAATTGCAAAATCTCCCTGTGCAGTGTTTCGGGAGACTGTTCTGCTGTTCTGCGACACCAATTTCCCCACAAGTAGTAAAAATTCTCTGGCAGTGTGTGATCTAAACAAACCTTCATCTGCTCACTTAATAATTCCTTAGCTTGCATGGTTTATTATGTTTTTTGCTTGTAATGTCAGGGGGTTTATAATTGACTCAGCTGCTGTTTCTAAGTATTTAGACAATATGTGAGTGTTTAACAGGAGTATTTGTGCATGTGTTCTTTTCATGCACAAATACTCCTGTTAAAAGTCACGTGTGAAGAACTGCGACTTTTACTTCAGCTAACATAACTGCTAAAGGTTTATATACCAGTGCCATTTGAGTGTTTTAGAACACAGGACCAAAATCAAAGTGAAAGAGCAAATGAGGATTATACTACTGACTAATTAACTGGATAGGTTACGGAACCTGAAGGTTCATCACCGAATTAACCAAAGCCCTCCACCGGACCCTGTCCTGGGCCAACAAAATCCAGCCTCCTTCAACTCCTATCTCCCATAGATCCCGCCTGAGATTATCCTCCCATCTACGTCTAGGTCTCTCCAGAGGTCTCTTCCCCTCAGGCTTCCCAAATAGTGGACCCAACCAACCAGATGGCTTACGGAACGCGAAGGTTCATCACCGAACTAACCAAAGCCCTCCACCGGACCCAGTCTCCTTCAACTCCTATCTCCCATAGATCCCGCCTGACATTATCCTCCCATCTACGTCTAGGTCTCTCCAGAGGTCTCTTCCCCTCAGGCTTCCCAAATAGTGGACCCAACCGACCAGATGGCTTAGGGAACCCGAAGGTTCATCACCGAATTAACCAAAGCCCTCCACCGGACCCTGTCCTGGGCCAACAAAATCCAGTCTCCTTCAACTCCTATCTCCCATAGATCCCGCCCAATATTATCCTCCCATCTATGTCTAGGTCTCCCCAGCGGTCTCTTCCCCTCAGGCTTCCCGACCAATACCCAGTGCACACCTCTTGCCCCATCCATGCGCGCTGCATTCCCCGCCCATCTCGTTCTTCTCGACTTAATCACCCTGACAATATTGGGGGAGGAGTACAGATTTTAAGCTCGTCATTATGCAGTTTTCTCCACGCCCCATCGTCTTCTCTCTTAGGCCCAAATATCCTCCTCAACACCCGATTCTCAAACAACTGCAATCTGTGTTCCTCCCTCTGAGTGAGAGACCATGTTTCGCACCCATACAAAATGAAGATTACACATAGGAGGAAAATCCTTAAGGAATTATCAGTTTCTCCCACGCTTGTTTGCAAAATTTATTTTGTTTGTCTCTTAAAAATTATCTGAAATGTATTTTGATCTTGTGAGTTGAAACCCAACCACTTTTGTGCATATTAAAGAAGTTTCTGAAATATCTTTGTCAATTTGATCTGTGTAAAACTGATTTCCGCAGTCTTTTTCGTGGACGATTGTGTTTTACAGAAGTCAAGGTGTTCGTATGCTTGTATCCATGCAGTAATTTCTGAACTAGAATTTTATGATTTATTAAATGGATGTTTTGCTGGGGTCCTTTCCTGGGGGTAAAGCATGGCCAGGGCATGACGCTGACCACTCACCCCCATCTAGTGCCAAGGTTAGGAATGAGTAGGATCTATACCGCCTCTCCCCCCGAGCGCCTACATGGTGTATTGCTTGAAACACTTGGAAATTGCCAGCTAAGGTGACTGAGGCTTGAAATTTTTCTCTGTGCCACTGTATCGAGACTCGCTGATGGGCCCATGCAACCTGATGGCTTTTTTTCCAGGGATTTAAAGTTGGAGCTTATAGCTAACCACTCCATGTAATTTTAAAGCCAATAATATGTGGAGATTTAAGTAGGATTTGGGGTTTTCCTGGCAATGAGTCCATAGATTGTTGTCTTGTGTGTTGTAGTGCCGTGTAGTCTGGTCGATCACTCTGACGATGGAAGTAGCGAAGACCTCTGAAACGCTGGTAAACTTCTACCAGACTACATGGCAATACAACCCAGAACAGAGCCATCTTGCATATGGGGATTTTCTTACATTCGTCTGATATTGTCATCATGTGATATTTATTCAGAGATTAAATGTTAAATTTAGGATTAAGTAACATTTAAGGAAAAGAGCTCCAGGCCTACCTCATCGTTGGTATGAAATTTTTATTTATAATAAGAACATAATACTCGCTCATCAGTTATTACCTCAGCCAATGACTTGTATTAGTGTTTGAATCACTGTTAATGTATATTTGTTTTAATTATCACTGTTGAAATGACTGCTCATTTTTGTAATAAGTGAATATACGAGGCTCGTCCACAAAGTAAGTTTCCCTGGGGCCGTTTACAGAAACAAAACACAATTTCATGGAAATATTTATTGCAACAGATACAGCAAGTGTCCAGCTATTTTTCAACATATTCGCCACCGGAATTGAGACATTTGTCATACCGTAGGACCAACTTTTGAATACCTGTGTCGTAGAAGTCGCCCGCCTGGGATTGGAACCACTGTGTGACAACCATCTCCGCCTCTCTGTCATTCTCAAAACGCTGACGCTGACAGGACAGGAATTTCTTGAGGTGTAGGAAAAGATGGAAATGACTGGGAGCGAGGTCCGGGCTGTAGGGTGAATGATCAAACACCTCCCAGCTGAACTCCTGCAGGAGACTCGCTGTCCG